GGCTTAGCGGGTTAGTACAGGAGGTTTGTTGAAGGGTTCTCAAGCATGGCTATGCTCATGACCCATCTTACGAAGAAAGGAGATCAATTTGTGTGAACTGAAGAGTGTGAACTAGCCTTTACTGCTCTAAAGGAGAAATTGACGGTTGCATTGGTCCTTATTATATTGCTTTTCATCCTCAGACGGATGGCCAATAAGATAAGGTAATTCAAATTGTGGAAGATATGATAAGGGCATGTGTTTGGGCGTGTGCTCTAAAGGAGAAATTGACAAATACCAAGCTAGAATTAGAAGGGCCCCTTATGAGACATTGTACGAGAGACCATGTAGATCACTTATGTGTTGGGCAGAAGCTGGAGAGAATAGCTTATTTAGACCAGAAATTATTAGAAAGACTACCGATAAAGTCTAGTTAATTTGGGAAAGATTACACACGGCTCAAAGTAGATAGAAAAGTTATGTTGATAAGAGGAGAAGACCTTTGGAATTTTAGTTGGGAGATTATGTGTTTCTCATGGTGTCACCTAAGAAATGAGTATTCCAGTTCAGCAAGAAAAGAAAGTTAGCCCTGAGGTATATCAGGCCAGTTGAGTTGATTAGAGTCGTGGGAAAGATAGCCTATCAACTCAGATTACCAACTCAGTTGTTAGGGATACATGTATTGTTTCACATATCAATGCTAAGGAAGTGTGAACCTGAGACATCGCATGTAGTGGATTTGGAAGGAATTGAAATTCATGATGGAGTAACTTATGAAGAGCAACTAGTGAGGATTTTCGACACCAAGGAGATAGTGTTTCGCAATAAGGTTATCTTACTGGTGAAAATATTATAGCAACAACATGGGGTGGAGAAAGCCACATGAAAACCAAAACCAGAGATGTGGGAAAAGTACCCTCACTTATTCCCCACTTAAGGTAAGTTTCGAGGATGAAATTTTATTTTTGTGGGGAGGGGTGGATTCTAAACCCCTGTTTATTTATAATTATAATTATATATATATATATATATATATATATGTATGTATGTATGTATCTATTAAGTCCTATGTATTGCATGCATAAATAATAAATTAGGGATGAGTTATATAGGTTGTATTAGAAGATATCATGTATTTTGGATCTGGTACTCACTATAGGGAGAAGTTAGGAAGAGAATAACTAGATATTGTCCTAGTATTTTAACTATAACTTTTTAGTTTGACATTAGATGGATTTGAAATTTTGACAGTAGAAACTAGATCCCAAGAGATACAAAAGTGTATTTTACAAAAATTTTGCAAATCAATTTTTAAATAGGTCAAAATTATAGTGGAAGTTCTGATAGGAATTGGGAGTCACATGACATTCGAACGGGGTTTAGTTACAATACTTTGGTGTTTGACAGAAATTAAGATATTGGGAGCAAGGAACATTCGAACGTAATTCACATTCGAACGACACACGTTCGAACGCCACTTTTAACTCCAACGTGAATGTGATTTTAACAGTGATCAGGCTCTCGTAGATTGTTCAGATTCTGATCTTATAAATACCTAGGGATGCCCCTCATATTTCATCAATTTTAAACTCTAGACACCTCTAGAGATCGAGATAGAAGGAGAAAACACAAGATTCAAATGGATTCTCACATTGGGATTGATTCAAACATCCTAGGGTTAATATCAAACATCGGATTGAAGTAGGGGTTCCTTCTTGAATTCTTTCATTGAAGTTAGGATATTAGTTATGTATGTTTTTACTCTTAAATGATATTATTATGAAAAAAAAAGTATCTTATTTTGGTTTTTTGAAAACCTATGAATCATTCTTGAAGAAAATACATTCATTTATGCATTATTTATTCGTTCTTAAATTTCAAAACCCTAGTTCTTGAAAAGTTATAGGATTTCCTTATGATATTCTTTCATGTTGGAATTATAAACCCTAATTCTTGAATAAATTATGTTACATTCAAGAGTATGTTCTTCTCTCCAAGGATCAAAAGTTTGAGAAAACCCAAGAATTCGAGTACTGCAAAAGTAATGATTTCTTGATATGATATTTTCCATATTTTAATTCTTTTAGTCTTGTACATTGAGAATTGTGAAATTGTGATACTTGAATTTTGATAGAAATTATGATTGGTTGGGTATATGGTTTTTGAATAAAGTTGTAGTTTTTATTTCTTATATGATTTGGGTGTGACAGACTTGGATTGCCTTCGAAAGCTGTCGTAGAATATTAAAGGTTAGTCTATCTCAATGGAGGTGAGATGATTGTCTGACACTTATAGAGGGTTATTTCCTCGAAAGATCAACCACTATTGTTCACATAGGTCTGAGGTTGAAGGACAATAAACTTTATATAGTAATGGATTCGTCAATGCCATGTGAAATGGTACACGTCTTTCCTAAAGTGGTTTGTGCTATAATCATGTGGGAAATGGTTGAGGTTGCTTGTGTTTGTGGTGGGTGAATGAGGTAAGTTCATTGTGTAAATTCCTGAGAAGCAATCAATATACATAAGACATCTGAGATAGTATTTACTTAATTATTCTTTATTTACTATGATTTATAATTGTTTACTTCTGTTATCGAATTACTATATTTCGTAAACTATCTGACATTGTTTTAATTGCAAAAAATATATATGACATTTTTTTTAAAAAAAAAGGGTTTTTTGTTTTATGCTTTAAAAACCTTGTTTGAATTTGAGATAAATTTCCTACGAGCTTTTGCTTATGCCCTACAACACATAATTTTAAATTTTGGAACAAAGAAGAATATTGAATTGAATGAACAGGTAGACTTCGAGACCGAGGTTGATCAGGACAGAGATCTCGAAGCCGAGACTTAAAGTTGTTCTTTCAATATAACGAATTTTTAGAATGAATTCCTTTGTGATGCAAAGAACATTCGGTAGTTGCTAATTTATTTTGAGACTTAGTATTATTTAAATATTTTGTAGGTAAAATTTGGGGATTTACTTTATTTAGCTTTGAGAGTTTTACTTTATTTAGCTTTGAGAGTTTTACTTAAGTTAGCTTTGAGAGTTTTACTTACCTATGGTGAATGTTGAATTTTTTTAATATATGTTTGGATACTATTTAATTGCTCTCATGTTTTGATGATTTGTAGATAGTTAATGCCCAAATTATGAATTGGGGCGTTACAGAGAANGAGATATGGTTGAGAGAAATGTTTGGAAATGAGATATGAGGATACAAATGGAGGAAATTTGGGTGATAATGAAATTACGAAGAGAGAGGTGTGAATGATGACAAATAAAATTGAACTTTTTTGTTGGTGAGCAATTAAAACTCATTTTGATTCGTCAGATCAATATATTCTGAATTGATCTATGTTGTTTTTATGTTGAGTCAACATCATCCATCGAAAGATCATTTTATTTATCCCAAAATGACATGAACCATCTTTTGATTTTGAGATTCAAAAACAACTATATTTTATATATGTGCGAATATACAATTTGCACCCTCACATTGCACCTTTAGGGCTTGTTTGGTTAACATATTAGAAATGAATTGATTAAATAAAATAATTCAGTCTAATACAATACATGTGGACAAAAGACAAGATTAATTAGGGTATTAAAATAATAAGTAATTTTACCTAGTGTTTGACAGTACACAATATAAATGTTGGATAGTAGTTGGTTAATCCAGTTAGTTGTTTGGTTAGAGAAATATTTCATCTTATTAATGTTGAATTAATAAAAATACTATCAAACATTGTTTGTTATATTTATGACAACTTTATTTTATCAGTTGGGGGTTATAATAGTAAATGTGTAAAATAATATGTTTGAGTTATATTATAATATCAGTTCTCTTGGTAATATTAAAATCCCATTATAATACAGGTTTATCGTATAAAAAATATACGATAAATATACAACTAATATATATTTTTTATATTAATACGGTATCAAATTTGCTTATCAAATAAAGTATTAGACCCTATTAAATAAAAAATAGTATAATCCAATATTTAATCTCTTCATAATACGTCTATCAAACGAGCGCTCAATGTATTACAAATATTGCGATGTGGCTCTTCATTAATTTATGTTGATTATTCCGTCAACTTCAATGAGGTGAATTTTGACAGAATAAGAAACAAAAAATAATGGAAATGCCACATGAAAATACTTTTAATACATTGAGAATGCAATACGAAAAATCTCATTTTTAAGAATGCAAAGTGAGAAAGCTTAAATCATCAAGGTGCAAGGTAAGATTCCCCACTATTATATAGATGTACCAAGTTTCTCAAGTATGATAGATATTTAACATATGTAGACTAGGTGAATTTTTTTAATAGAGAATTTTTCGTTTTTCAGAATTGCCTTGTACAGTGATTAGGTAATTTGGTTCAGGAGAAATAATATGATAAATAAGTCTGAACGAATACAATTTAAAAGTGTGTATGGAAGGGGGGAGGGGGTGTGTTTGAAAGAGAGAGAGAGAGATTGGGAGGAGAGGGTATATCGAATCGATAGAACTGTACTTCTCAAATTTGTTTATTAAATGTTATATTTCAAATGATATGTCAAAATCCTATGCACTGAATGATTTGTGAAAGTTAATAGACCCACTGATCCAATCACACACTAATTTGAAATAAAAAATTTTATAAATGATTTGGTAAGCATAACATTGCTCATTAAATTTGATCATCATATATCAAATAAGGGACTCTAGAAAGCAAAACAAGGGTTGGGGACAGCAAATTCTAACTTCCAGGAACTTCGCATTGCATCGAAAGATGAAACTACATATCAGCATCACTTATCGTTTTCTCTATAATTTCAATGCAAAAGCCCACAGATCTTCCCTCAGACATGGCTTCTGCAAGCTTGGCTCGTGCATTTTCATGGCGACGCAAAAGTAGGACAGTATTCAGCACGGCCCATCTGACTTGAGAATCTGCTTTCTTCTGGGTGAAACCCAAGCTTTTAAGCAATATATCCAACTGTTGAAAAAGCAAAATGTTTCAGTTAGCAGTTGAAGTAATTTGGCATGGAATCATTCATGCTGGGATATAACTGAGCAGCAGGGAGCCACTGTTTCAGCAGATGCAAAAGAACTTGTTGCCCAGATAGTTTTTCTTCTTTGCTGCCAAGTATAGTTAGCGCTATACTCCTGACACTAAATTTGCCAGCAATATCTAAAGCACAAACGTCCTTGTTATGGTTGTCAATAAAAAAATACAAGAGTATTGATTTACATCGCTCGAATGTTGTCAAAGCATCCAACTCAAAATCAACTGAAAATGAGTGGAGAGACTCACAAGATTCGTATGCTAATTTGAGAGGTGGTGTCATTATATTGATGTGGGACAAGCATGTACAGTCCCCAATCCCACATCGAGTGGTAGACAGAAGAATTTGGATACACAGTCAGTCAGCCAGAGACATAAGAAAGTATATTTGCGTCTTATGATATCAATGTGAGACAAGCTCTAACAATAACAAATGTCACCTGAAATTCAGGGGTAGTATCAACGTCAGGGTGAATCACTTTTAAATAAGCAGCAGAGGTTGGGAGTCTTGGGACAGACAAAACTGTCTGCCTCTAATTGGAGTATAGGGATCTTTTCAATATTGTATGGAAGGGGGAGGAGGGCGGGGAGAGAAGTAGGGCTTGCAAAAAGCTCACATTTCTGTGCAATAAGGATGATAAATTTAGAGAATTTACCATTTCCAAGAACACCTCAATCTCAGATTTCAGAAAGGAAAATTATGTCAATCGATCTACATCAAGAAAAAAAAAATCAAAACTCAGCTCTAGGCTGGCAAAAATGGTGAGGAGATTGGACAGAAATGACTCCATCCCAAAGGTTCATGAAATGTGATGATAGCATACACTAGTTCTTTCTAATTGAATTGCTAGACTGCAATGGTGATATAGGACGTGTGAGAATGGAACATATTGTGTCAAAGCCTAAGATGAAATCTATCAGTCAAGAGGCACTTTAATAGATGGGCGAGTAAGTACATTACTGTTTCATTGGAAACACTGAAAAACTCTTATAACTGAACAATAGTTTTGAGTGGTGAATAAATTTCAAAAGCAGGAAAGTAAAAAGTTCGAGATTTACTTACCAAGAAACATGAAAAAAGTTTGAGGCCACAAATTAGTTGACAGATAAAGAAATAGCTTAAGCTCTCACTATTGATTGAAGAATATGAAGCAGGAGGAATTTGTGGGAGAAGTACTGTAGCAGTCATATGCAAACAACATTTTTTTTGTCTGCATGTAGCCTGAGTGGCTGGAGTCTGTACCTGGTTAATATCAGCAAGGCCGCCCTCAGCATAACCGTATAGAAGATACTCAGTTGCCACACCTGCTAGTGCTATACAGGAAAACCTGTTCAGCATCTGAAGTGAAGCATTCTCACCATTAGAAGTTTTTCAATTGCTGTTACGAAGGGTGAACAATTCTTTGAGTATTTATTAAAGATGAGAATCCGGAAACATACTGTGGCTGATACTTTTCCAGTATTTACCTGCATGGGAGGGTAAGAGCCTCACATCAAAATACAAAGACATAGACAGCAATTCGAAAAATAAAAATGTTTGCCTCCCAGTTTATGGACTGGAATGGTAAATTTTGTTGGGGAAAACCATAGTCATACAAAAATTAACATCCTTGATTGCTTTCAGATTGCAATTGACTATCAGCTGCTTCATGCTAATTTTGCATCTATGCCCGGCATTTTTTATTATCAGCCTATGCATGCATCCTATCTATCAACAATTGACGTTCTTTTGTGCACCTTCTGGTTTGGTTAAGGCATGGAACTGCAAAACAATCAGCACCACAGAAGAGTGACAACTCGTGACCGATATCGTTGGCCGTTCAAATGTGGATATTTTGCTACAGGGCCCATGCTTAAATCAGGAAGAACAATTTACAACAAAAAATAGGCATATATATCTAGGAAAAGAAGATATGGGGGTGGGTAGCAGGGACAACCTTTTCATCAAAGACCAACTAGAAGCAAGAAAGAATTGACAGCACTGGTAAAAAGAATGAGACCAATCGTGCTGCTGAAAACAATAATGGAAATCTGTATAAGATAACATACTTCTTCAAGAAACTCGAAATCCACAAAAGCAGTCCCTGCTTGAACATAAAGTGATCCTTCCTTTTGCAAAGCTTCCAAACTTGTTAATGTATACCCCTTAGGAAGAATTCCCAGCAAGTAGGCAATCAAGAAATGCCCAGCTTCATGCTACATCAAAATTGGTGTGACAACCAGCTTTTCAAAAGAGATAAAATATCAAACATACAGACTAGAAAAATAGTGCTCAGATGTATCTTACTTGAATAACCCTATTATGGTACTTTTGACTGAAGGTGTGACCAATTGTATCAAGAACCAAGCCACTGAGTCCTCCATTGAAAGAGACCTATGAAAAATTCCTTTGGTGAGACCATAATGGTACTGTCAGACTATGAATGGTTAGAACTAAACTTGGAACAAGCAGACAGTTACCTCAATTAACATTGATGAATACTGAATTGTATTGCATCTATATTGCATTGTATATCACTCATTTTCACTACTTGAGTAGTGGCACTCAACTGAGTAATATCCACTTCTACTGAGGCAGACCACAGCAATCAATTTTTATCTTTCATCATTCATGTTGAGCAGGTAAATGCAAGTCCACCCTAGGGATTATAGCTCAGGAAGCTCAACTTGGACCACAAACAGGACTACTGCTACTCTATCCAAATTAATATGTTCTTATATTCCAATACTACCTCACTTCAAATACTTGTTAATCAAATTTTTGTGATGTCTAGCCACTCTTATCAAGAAAGCAGATGCTTCTGGAAGTGAAATGCTGATTTTATGGGTAAAATATTCCCTATAGTTGCCTATATCACATGCTTAGTTTATATAATTGACAAGTTTTTTATGCGAAACATCAGTGGAAAACCAAAACCCATAGGATTCTGCTGAATAAGTTGTTTCCATCGCAAAACACAAAAAACCTGATCTAAACTACCAAAATGGCTTTATCCGTGTCGATAACAATCATAGAAACTAATATGAGGCATTAGCCATTTTTTGTCCTGACGATGAATAAAAATTGTAAGACTGAAGCCCAAAAGTGGATGAATTAACATTAATTTCTCTAAAGAATAGTAAAGAGAAGTAAAAGAAGAGGAAAGTAAGGTAGGAGAAAAGCTTAACGTTACTATTTCTTGTAGCCTAGTTTGCTGATATTTTTACTTCGGTGTTGCTACAGTTGTAACATAAAAATTGTCTATTAGTTGAACCTTGAATAATTGTATGTTACAGTTAAGGAAAAGAAAGAGAAAGAAAGAGATAATGAAACAGTATTGTGTGTAGGGTGTGTATTATCTACACCCTATCACCTATTTATATTATAGATTGATATTGAAGACAATTACAATATTAGGAAAATAAAACATAACAGGAAAACCCCATGATAGAAAAGTAGAACAGTAGAAAAGTGACACAGTAGGAAAGTGACACAGTAGGAAAGTGAAACAATAGGAAAGTAACGTAATAGACATTAGAGTATTTATATTATGGGTAGTTTAGGTATTTTACATTATTTTGTTGCCCTAATATATAAGAGCCTACATTGTGTATCTGTGTTTAGGTTGCATTACTGAATGAATTAGTCTTAACATCATTCTTGACCCCCCCTGTCTTTTCTTCCCTTTGAGCAATGTTAACATGGTATTAGACCATTGTTTGATCCTAGCATACTTAAAAAATTGTGAAGAACACAGTATCAGATGCTGCAACTTCTTCTGAACAAGGGCTGACGTCATCAAACTGGAGTCGAGGAGAGCTCTGCTATACTCGACTCTTCATGGGCTTTCCAATGGCATGTTTTGTTTTTGATTTTGAAGTCATTGGATAGGGTTTTCTAATTTTTGAATGTTTTTTCAAAAATTTCGGCCCTATTTTTCGATCTGTGAATTGGGGTTGTATTTCTCGAATTTTTTGCATCCAATCGACTCTAAAGGTGCGATTAAGAGTATAGGTTGGCTAGTTGTGTGATTTGAAAGCTTTTGGTTTGATTTTGGTTGTATATTGGTTGCTTGGGACTGTCAGCCTACTGTTCACTGTAAGAACAGTAGCCGAAGTCCTTGTTTTGGGCCTTGGTCTCTGTTCTTGGCCCCTGCACTTGGCTTCGCAAGTTGGCTTCACAGTTCAGCTGGTTGGTTTTTGTTGGTCAAACAGCTTGCTTTCTTATTTGGTTGTTGGACTCTCTCGTTTTTGACTTGGTTTGGGTATTATTGTGTTGTGAGCATTGATCCTTTGTTTAACATTATGGCAAGTGGACATTCTAATTCTCTTCAAGCTATTAGTGTCAGATTAAATGGTGAAAATTATGTTTATTGGTCTTATGTAATGAAGAATTTTTTGTTGGGAAAAGAGATGTGGAGTTATGTTAGTGGTGTTTTGCAAGCACCAACAGATCCGAAGGCATAGACATATGCTGACTTAAAAAATACTTGGGAGGTCAACAATGCTAAAATCATCACTTGAATTAACAACTCAGTTAATCAGACCATTGGTGTGCATTTGGCTAAATTTAACACAGTCAAGGAGATTTGGGACTATTTAGCTACATTGTTTGTTCAGTCCAATTTTGCAAAAAGATATTAGCTTAAGCATGAAATTCGAGCTGCACGTCAAGGTGATAAGACCATACAGAAGTTCTACTCGGTTATGACTGGATTTTGGGATCAATTAGCACTTACTGAACCTGCTGAATTGAGTACTCATATGGTATATCGCGCTTTTAGGGAGGAGCAGCGGTTGGTTTAGTTTTTAATGGCCCTTAGAGATGATTGTGAGGGACTTCGTGGTTCTATTCTTCATCGTCTTTCACTTTCCACAGTTGACACAATAGTGAATGAGCTTCTGGCTGAAGAAGTCCGTATTTAGATTCTTTCTGGAAAAGGTCTTCTTTCATTACCTAATTAGACTATACTGGTTGTACCACCCAGGGGGACTTCTTATTCACAGACTAAATTTCGAGGTTGAGCTGCTTTAGATGAGTGTAATTTTTGTCGTGAAAAGGTCACTGGAAGGCTCCATGTCCTAAATTGGTGAACAAGAATGTCAAGGGGGTCTTACATCAACCATTTAAGCCCAAAGATCATTATACAGAAGCAGCTGCTTCACCAGTGGATGAGTCACTCTCATCAGCTCTCAGCATGACTATGATGCCTGAACAGTTGCAGAAGTTTCTTTCCCTTCATCAACTAGGTGCCCTTTCAGTTTCTCACTCCACAGGTTCATTCACTACAGGTCCATCAGGTA